AGTCGCCTCACATACAGGTAAGTAATATCTATTTGATTAGCCTCCCCTTTAATTGTAGTAGGATACAATATTTTCCATATAGTTTATTGTGATAGGAAATTCCACGCGGCCATCTTGAGGCCCGACCTGCGTCTGCTCGTGAAGTCTTCTGCTGAATGGGCCCCGGAGGATTTGATAGGAGCAGCCATAGGCCGTAACATTAGTGGTAGCAGAGCGTGGTTCCGGGTTCGATTCCCGGTCGAGCTAGACCGTAGTACTTGATAAAAATTAAACAATTTTGGTGGCAGGGAGCGTTTGTTTGATTGGTTTAATTTTGTGTCTACAATCACGCCCGGCCGTAATATGTAAAATTAAAATTCTTTTCTTTTGTTGCTTGCTTTTTTTGTTGATAGCGGGTAGTATACGAACGCCACGCCCGTAGGCTGAGCAAGCGGAAGTTTTGTTAAGGCTAAGTACTTACCGTAGTTTGTTAAGGCGAGGTACCTTGACTAGGTATATGAGGTTGTCACGTAATCGGATAATTTGTTGATCGTACTAGGGTTTGTTACTTGTTAATTTGATTTATGTTTTCTTTAGGCTAACTTGTATTTAATTTAATGAATAGTAATCGTATTTGTGTAATTTCTATTTAACTTGATTTAATAGGAACTGTATTTGTTATTTGTTAATTTGATTTATATTTGAGCCGCGTATTAATTGTATTTAGTAGTGATGCCATCGCACAAGCTACTGATTCGTCGCCTGCGGACTGAGCTGCGCTGGGCTACCAGCGCGCATGCTTTGATAAGTCGACCGGATAGGGCCTATAACTTGAGGAAGCGGCTCGAGCAGGTCGATGCTCGAAGGGCCGCAGTGGAGGAGGCTTACGCTGAGCTCGAGGATTCGGATGTGGAAAAGGGAGTCCTGGACTTCTGCTTCGCGGACTAGTTGATCGAGGCTGAAGGCAGGTATGCTGAGGAGGCGCGTGAAGTTCGGATGAGTGGCCTGCCCGATCCTCTCGGAAGCAGCCTCAGCCGGAGCTGTTGGGACGACTCCGAACTCTGGACCTGCCAAGGTTCTCCGGGATCCTTTCCGAATGGCTGACCTTCGTTGGTCTTTTCGACAGCCTAGTGGACACCCGGAGGGACCTGACCCCGAGCCAGAAGATGGCGTACCTTCTGGCCTCACTGGAGGGGGAGGCCCTGGGCGTCGTCGGTCACTTGAGATTGTCTGACGACGCCTACCAGACTGCTCGGGACCTCCTAGCCAGAAGATACGCCAACGTTCGGCGAATTACGGACGAACATGTTAAGCAGTTTCTAAGCCTCCCGCTGTTTAGTGACCGGGCCAGACTACGTCCGGACCTGGTGAATCCAGTCTCGATGGCCTGTAATGCGTTGAGGCGGCTGGATTTACCAGTGGGCGAATGGTCCTTTTTGTTGCTCTACATCGTGCTGTCCCGTCTACCTCTCGACCTTAGAATACATTTTGAGGAGAGGTACGGCGTGGACGGGGCCTCTTATATTCCGCCCTTCAATGACCTACTGCGGTTTTTGGAGGAGCAGTGCCGGCAGATTGAGAACGCGGCGGGCACCGTTGACGACTTACGAGCCGTGCCCAGTGAGAGGCGGAATCCGCCGGGCAAGTCGTCGTCAACCCCTCCCCAGGCTTATCGGAGCTCCCGCGGGAGGGCGTCGCTCCCTACCATCTTACAGTGGCCTACCGGCCAGGGAAGCGCTCCCCTGTTCTTATTGTCGAGCATCCGATCACCGGGTGACGTCGTGCCCGAAATTATTAAGTAAGCCGGTTCCGGCGAGGCGAACTATCGCCAAGGAGCGCCGCTGTTGTTACTCGTTTGGAAGGGCACCTCCTGCGAGACTGCACGCACCAGCGGCCCTGTCCGCATTGCCAGGGCAATCACCATGCAGTTTTGTGTCTGGGTGCGAACGGCGTCTTCTCTCGGGGCTCTGCCCGACCCTCGACCCCCACGGGCGGGGGCGCTCAGCCACGCCCTCTGACGGGCGACGCTCGGCGCCCGCCGGCCAGCCACCAGGCCCCTAGGTTTGAAAGGGGTCCCTCCCCCGACCAGTCGGGGGGTAATTCCCCCAGGGGCGGGGGTGTCATCGCCCCCCCTCAGCGTGTGGAGAGGAACTTCACGGCCACTCATCAGTCCGGTAGACCCTTCTCACCCCCGTTAGCTGAGTGTCCGCGACTGGTGTATCATCGTTCCCCATTTGATGGAGGCAGCCCTAGCTAGCTGCCGCCTTAGCTCCCACCACGGCCGCCTCCCCTGAGCCTTGAGCCGGCAACAGTCCACTTTTAAGCTGTTCTGTTGCCGACGGCCTAAGGCGTACAACCCGAGTGGCGACTGTTAGCGGTTTGCGCTCTATTAGTCTCGGGTTCACGCGGTGTGGCCTCCACTTGGTGGTGGGAAGATTAGGGCTCCCCTGGAGCGTTGAATTACTTTGTCAAGGAGTATTAGATTTGGTTTTGGTCGAGCACTTAGTTAAAAATTCTTTAAATTAAAAATAAAAATGCTTTTGGGTTTTCCACGAAATTTTCATATTTGTAGCGGGTGTGATTACAAGGGTGAATTTGATATACTCCTTGAATATTTGTACATATGTTTTGTAAATATATTTGATCATTAGGTTTGCTTTGTTGAAAAGAAAATTGAAATTAAGTAATACTGTTTGTGCCGAAAGAAATAAATATCCATCCTCTCTTTGTTTTCACATTTTGTTGGCATTGTCGAAGATATTTATTTTGAGAAAATAAAGGGGGAACTTTTTGGCTATATCTTATGTTTGTCGATTTGCTTAGTTTGTCTGTTTTGATCTATGCGCATCAAGAAATAAATTTATTATAGCTTGTTTTCAAGTATTAATGCTTTTCAAATTTGGTTGAAATATAAGCATATGACTACATCTCTAAAAGGCTAGCTAGTTGAGAGATTGTCAGATTGAAATCAGCTACTGCACAATTAAGTAAATAGTTATATAGTAGATGGGGAATTTGTGGGTGCGCTCTGCACTGAAGCTTAGGTGGCCACGCTGGGCCGCTTCGTATCGCGTCGCTGTTTGCGGACCTGATTCGGTCGGATTGTGGAGCGAATCATAGGGGCGCAGATAGGTGTTTGAAGGAGGTCGTCGGACTTCTGTCCAGGAATAGCACTTATTTATGTGCTGCGATGTCCAGTCCAGAAAGGGCATCCAGATGAGGCTCAACCCTCTTTGGCTTGCCCACATTGGGACGGTATTTTTGAGGCGGTGGTTGGGGTTGCAAGATCTGATGGAGTGCCTAAGGTGGCCTAGTTTGGTTGTAAATTCGGTCTTGCAACTTGCCGTCGCGACCCTGTCCCGCTGGCCGGTTGGCTCGCGGACATAAATCCTTATGTCCGGGACGGGGGTTTGTTTAGGCCAAACAATTAACTTTTGAAATTTGCATCCGCACTCGTTCCACCCGCTGACTTGTAAAGGTCACCTTGGCCCCATTTCCGTGTGTCGTCGGGTAGAAGGGCGCGAGTTCAGAACGTGAGTGCAAGAGAATTGCTAGAAACGTGCTATAGAGAGCACGTTTTAAAGTCGCCCGGGAAACCTCCATTTTTGGAGTAGGTTTTGTTAGCAGATGTTGCCACGACGAAGGTTTCTTTGTTAAGTCTAGAATTCGACGCCGGGCTGACAAATTGTTAGGAAGCTAACATTGACTGCGATCAAAGTCTGAATTGCGTGTTATGCGCGCCTAATTTACCGTGAATTTGGTTATTCTAATTTGCTAGCATATAAGTGCATTTGACAATATTAATTTGCTCGAGTGGCCTTTGATATATTTCGGATACGTTTTTGGTATTAGAGGTGTGTTACGCTTTAGTTTAGTGTCGTCTAGAAGTATAGTTAATAGACTGTCCTAGTGAAAAAGGAAGTGACGGTGGGTGACGCCGCGGGAGATTACCACAATTTGGAGCGGCGCCGAAGTCCGGGCTGCCGAAGGTCCCGGCAGGTCTATCACCACCAACACCACAAACTACCACTATACTCAACATATACACACCTACGGTCTGACCGAGCCCTGAGACAGCAGTCGCCTCACATACAGGTAAGTAATATCTATTTGATTAGCCTCCCCTTTAATTGTAGTAGGATACAACATTTTCCATATAGTTTATTGTGATAGGAAATTCCACGCGGCCATATTGAGGCCCGACCTGCGTTTGCACGTGAAGTCTTCTGCTGAATGGGCCCCGGAGAATTTGATCTTTGTAGGAGCAGCCGTAGGCCGTAACACATATAATAACAGAGTTCGTTCTACTACAATATATACGCAAACTTGTTATATTATAGTCAATCGCAATTAAAGAATCGAAGTGTAAAGACATAGTGGTTTTCTTTTACACGTGATACAAACAATAGTGCACCTTAATTACATCAACAAGCAGCTTTATGCTATTGTACGAATAATTCGGTCCAATGACTCCATTCTTACCGCGGCAATCATTTCAATTAATTTTTTTTCTAGCGAGAGCGTTTTATTGAAAATGAAACGAGAGACAATATGAAAGAAATAAAAGAACATTATTATTGTAAACGTTTATTATATTCTCAAAAATAAATACTTTATCTCAATATTAACTAGACGTTTGTATAATTATACTATGTCGAAGAGATTATTATCAATGTCACACATCCTACTTGTGTATAGACGAGAGGATGGATAATTTTGTGACAGCACCAGTGCATTGAGGGTGGAGGAGGTCGGGCTACGGTCAGGGCCGGATCAAGACACGTAAAGTTCTCTAGGCAACTATGTTTGTAAGAGTGCGGAGCTTAAGGGGCACTTGTGATGGTTTGGTTATTGAATCCAGCTATGGGTGCGGATAGACGAGAGGATGGATGATTTGTGACGTCACCAGTGCACCGCGGGTGAGGGTTAGACTACGGCCAGGGCCGGATTAAGATAAGTAGAGACCTCTAGGAGCGCTTGTGATGAATTAGTTATTAACTGCGCGTGGCGCTGTGGTGACGCTATATGTTGAGAGGCGAGCGCGCGAGGCCGGCGGGCGCGGCGGCCACGCGGCGGCCGAGCTCGGCGAGCCGCTCGTCGAGCCGCGCGGCGCGCGCGCCCAGCGCCCCGCCCAGCGCCAGCATGCGCTGCGTCGCCTCCTCGCCCCACGCCTCCGCCATGCGCACCTGCACACACACACCGACACATGAGCAGCTGCTGCTGGTCCAACGCGTCGCGCCGTGCGCCGTGCAGGACTCACCTCGTGTTCAGCGCTGGGCAGCGCCTTGCTGACGGCGCGCGAGGCCCGCGAGAGCGCGGCGGCCGTGGTGTAGCCGTCGATGGCGGCGGCCGCCAGGCGGTTGAGCAGCTGCTGCTGGTCCACGACGTCGCGGCCGTGGCGGCGCAGCGCGGCCTCCACGCCGGCGCCGAGCTCGGCCGCGCCGCGCGCCAGCTCGCGCGCCACCGGCGCCAGCGCGGGCGCCACGAGCGCCTCCAGGCCGCCGCTGGCCGCCAGCCCCACCGCGCGCCCCGCCCGCCGCCCCGCCTCGCTGAAGATCAACCCAAGGTTCGCCGTCGGGTTCTTGAACGCGCGCTGCAGCTCCTGCAGGTGCGACCCCGCGAACTGGATGCCTACAGAAACGTTCACTCTATACCGGTGCTTCTAAACGTTTTAACACCTAAGGAACATTTCATCCATTTTTGTCTCTCCAGGAAGCACCAACTTTTAAACGTTATAACTGGACGTAGTTACGCAAAAAGATCCAACTCACAGTCAAGTCAAAAATGAATTATGTATTCAAAAATAACCCTTAAGATCTAACATTTCATAAATTAAAAAAAATACCTACAAAATATTCATCAATAGAAAAAAGAGAGTCGTTATACGAGGGTGACACTGAAAGTTCTTAGAAAATCAAAAACTGAACAAACTAGCAAATTATTAGTTTTATTACATCTTTTCAAAATAGTGTCCATTTACATCAATAGATCGCTGCATCCGATGAAACCATAGTGAAAAACACTTTGCCCACTCGTCCTTAGGGGTCTCTTCGACAGCATTTTGAAACGCAACTACTGCTTCCTCGGCGTCCATAAAACGTTTTCCTCGAAGTTTTCCTTTTATTTTCGGAAATAAATAAAAATCACAAGGTGCGAGGTTTTTTTTATAGGAGAGGGGGGCAAACGAGCATGCGGCTCACCTGATGGTAAGTGACTACCGCCACCCATGAACAACTGCAACACCAGGGAGGGAATTGCAGATGCGTTGCCGGCCTTTTAAAAAGGAGTACGCTCTTTTCTTGAAGGTCCCTAAGTCGTATCGGACCGGAAAAATCGCTGATGGTAATCGATTCCACAAGGAAGTCGTGCGAGGAAGAAAACATCTTCTAAATCGCACAGTGGTGGACCGCCAATCATCCAGATGCTGTGGATGGTATCGGGAGTTCTGCCGCGATGTGCGTTCGTGAAATTTGGCGGCTGGGATCAATCCGAACAATTCCTCAGAACCAGTGGCGGCCTTAGGGGGTGGCGAACAGGGCAATCGCCCGGGGCCTCGCTCTTGCAGGGGCCTCGCGCAACAACCCAAGCAAATTTAAAAAAATATAAATTTGTTAACTATATTTTTTTACTAAAAACTTTTGATTTTGATCCTTAATTACTCATTAAGGTTACAACATAACGGTTAATTAAAATAAAGTTTGTTAACTAATTAATTCATTCAAAAGATAATTGAAAAATTAATTATGTAGTACTTGAATATCGCGCCTCGAAACACTTGAAGATCGGTTTTTTAATCGCATAGCACTCGGGTCAGCTCGGGAGTCGAGACATAAAGTTATGTTCCTCTATCGCTCGGGGAATCCCCGTGTTTCATTTCGTTCGTCAACTCCTATCACCTTGGAATTAGTTTGCTTGCAATATGTATACAAACAAAATAGTTATAAAATCGTTACTGTACCGTACATATCTTTAAATTTTATTGAATATTACGTTCTTATAGTATTTAAATTATTGAGTGAGCTGAAAAAGTGTAAATTATAGTATTTGAAGTATTGAGTAAGTTGAAAAAGTGTAAAAAAACTGTGTGATACTTAAAAATTATTTCTGACTGTTTGTGCGAAACAAAACAAGGTTTACGAAATGAGTTCGCATGATCGTGATGTCGGTAGAAAATTTGAGTCAGGTAGTTCAAAAAGGAAACGAGCTGTCAAAAGAAAGCAGGTAAAAGAAAATCTACATGGATATTTATATAAATATATAAAAAGAGATGGTCACGAAACCTCTGCAAAACATTTATTGACTGAAAGTGACTCTAATCCTGATCCAGCTGAAAACATTCCTTCCACATCATCATGGGTGCCGCCGCCGACAATAAGTAAAAACAGTGAGGATGATGATGAATTAACTACATCATTGTTTTTTAGGTCACCGGTGCCGCCGTCAACGCTATTCCGTCAAGAACACGAATCTGAGCCTGAGTCTATGTCTGCTGAAATGGAAAATCTGAATCCTCAAAATGACCCCGGTTTGTGGCCTAAAACAATTACTGATGTAGATCAAACTGAGATTGTATTAAAAGGTCTAATCCGGGTTAAAGTTGATTTATTTCCCGTAAATGATAATGGACGGCGATTCAGCGAATATCATTATAATAAGATATTAGCTAACGGTGAAAAGCTTGACAGGCGCTGGATGATTTATTTACAAATAAAGGATGCCGTTTACTGCTTTCCGTGTCGAATTTCGGCCTTTCGATTTGGATTTTCGACCACAGCTGATAGTTTGACTAACTACATAATCACAGAATTAGAACAGTTAGGTATATCATTGCTAAACTGCAGAGGCCAAGGATATGATAAAGGTGCCAATATGCGTGGTGAAAAAAGTGGTGTACAAAAACTTAGTCTTGAAATTAATCCACTTGCTTATTTTTTACCTTGCGGAAGTCATAGCTGGAATCTCATCCTAGGAGATGCAGCATCGTTTTGTGTTCAAGCGAAATTTTTATTGGTTTGCTACACTCAACTAGGTTGTACACTCTGTTTGCCGGCTCAAGTCAGAGGTGGGCTATTTTAAATGCTCTTCTAAAATCGTTATCACTAAAACCACTTTCTGAAACTAGGTGGTAGTGCAGGGTAGCATCGGTGAAGGCCGTTAAATACCAACTAAGCGATATATGTGATGTTTTAAAGGGTTTAGCAAAAAATACAACAGATTGTCAGTTGGTCAGTGAATGCCATTCTATAGAAAAGGAAATAACTACCTACGAATTTGTAGTTTCACTATCATATGGTATGATATTCTAACAAAGATAAATGTTATAGGTAAAATGTGGCAAAACAAACACATGCACTTAGATGAGGCTATACAACACCTAGACGCATTCATAAATTGGCTCGATAATTATCGTGAAAATGGTTTTCAGTCATCCCTTGTAACAGCGAGAGAAATAGCCGAGGAAAATTATATTGAAAGACAGTTCAAAGAAGTCAGAAGAAGACGTAAAAAAAGGCATTTTGATTATGAAGTGGAAGATGAAGCTCATGAATTGAATGCGGAAGAAATTTTCAAAATAAACTATTTTTATGTCATTGTCGACAATGTGCGAGCAAGCTACCATCCTAGGTTTGAGGCTCTTAAACATCATGAAAGCATATTTGGTTTCATGTATAATATAAAAACATTGAAAGAAATTAGTGATAATGAAATTTTGTATCTATGACAGTAGGAGACTCATGTGATATTGATGTACATGAATTGTAAGAAGAACTCAATATGTTCATCCATGTATATGACGGAAACGACGATATTATCTCGGTGCTGAAATACATAATAGAAAAAAAATTAATTGAAGTTTACCCCACTATCGAAATAGTCCTGAGAATTATTGCTACCTGTTACAGTTGAGTCTGCTGAAAGGAGTTTCTCGAGACTTAAAATTATTAAAACATATTTGAGGAATTCGATGACAAAAGATTGGCTTTCAGCCCTTGCTATTCTTTCAATCGAAAATGACGTAGCTTATTCGTTAGATTATTGTGCTTTAATTAAAGATTTTAGTTTTAGGAAAAGCCGCAAACATCAATTTTAAAATTTATCATCTCTGTATTTGTTAATTATGTAAATTTTTCAATGTAAAATATTTTAAAACTCAAATTTTATTTATTTATATTACCTTAATATTTCTCCTCAAACATGACAAATACCTAAACCAAACAACCAGACCTACTTTCGCATCACATACTCACGAAGGACAAAGGGCCTCGCAAAGACCTGCTGCCCGGAGCCTCGCAATGGGTAAGGCCGCCTCTGCTCAGAACACTCCCCATGGTAGATGCGAAAGAAAATGCAAAGGGATGCAACATCTCTTCGCAGTGCCAATGAATCGAGCCGATCGGAAAGGGCTCGGTCGTCGACGATTCGAGCCGCTCTGCGCTGGATGCGGTCAAGTGGAAGGAGCTGGCACTGGGGAGCCCCTGCCCAGAGATGGGAACAGTATTCCATGTGAGGCCGAACCTGCGCCTTGTAAAGTTGCAGGCGGTGTGCCGGCATGAAATACTGTCCCGCTCTGCTGAGCACGCCAAGCTTTTTAGAGGCCAATTTGGCCTTCTCTTCCAAGTGACCACGAAACTGCACGTCACTCGATATGTCGACTCCGAGGATACCGATACTGGCTGAGGCAAGAAGGGGAGTGCCTTGAAACTGAGGAGATACGACAAAGGGGTTCTTTTTAGCGGTAAACGCGCAAACTTGTGTCTTCTGAGGATTAAACTGGACTAGATTTAGTCGCCCCCAATCCGAGACTCTGTTCAGCAAAGACTCGACTTCAGACACAAGTTTCTTCCGGTACTCGGCGACGTTTTCCCGAGAAATATTGGCACGGCCGGTGTATAGAGCATCACCAGTGCTGTCATCCGCATAGCTATGAATGTTACCAGTTAGCAACATATCATGGATATGCAGAAGAAACAGCGTTGGTGATAGCACACAGCCTTGTGGAACACCAGCGTTAATAGGCTTGTAGTCAGAACATGTACCGTCTACAACGACCTTGATGCTCCGATCTGCAAGGAAGCTGGTGATCCAATTGCATAATTTCTCGGGAAGCCCATAGGAAGGGAGCCCTGAGGCCGAGCGGAGCCCCCGCGGGAGGGCGCCCCCCCTACCCTCCTATAGTGGCCTAGCGGCCCGGGAGGCGCCTCCCTGCTCCTATTGTCGAGCATCCGACCACCGGGCGACGTCGTGCCCTAAGTTGTTGCGCAAGCCGGCTCCGGCGAGGCGAACCATCGCCAGGGAGCGCCGCTGGTGCTACTCGTGCCTGGAGAGGCATTTACAACGAGACTGCCCGCACCAGCGGCCCTGCACGCACTGCCAGGGCAACCACCACATCATGTTGTGTCTGGGTGCGCGCGGCGCGTCCTCTCCGGGCCCTGCCAACACCCCGACTCCCACGGGCGGGGGCGCTCCGCCACGCCCCCTGTCGGGCGACGCACGACGCTCGCCGGTTGACCACAGCGCCGCTCGTTCTGAGGGGAGTCCCTCTCCCGACCGGTCGGGGAGTCGTTCCCCCAGGGGCGGGGCGTCTTCACCCCCCTCAGCGGGTTGAGAGTGGCTTCGCAGCCATTCAGCGG